CCTTTAGTTGAATCCAATATAAATAAAGAACTTCTCAAAATTTAATTTCATTAGTTTCTATGCAACCAGATCATTTTATTTTTTTTTTCGTTTTTTTATATCTTTTTTTTATTTTTAGTTTTTCGTTTTCTTTTCTTTTTCTTTTATTTTTATTTTTCGTTTTATTTTTTTAAGTTTTCGTTTTCTTATTCTTTTTTTTTTTCGTTTTTTTTTGTTTTTTTAATGTAAAAGTGGAGGATTGGCTAATTTTAATATAAAATTTTGATATTGCTGATAATAACAAAAAGACTTGTTTGTCGTGAAAGAATTTTGATATCACGTGACTAGATAAAAAAAATAATATAAAATAATATAAATACAATCAAATATTCTGCATATAAAAAGTAGTTAACAACAATCAATCTCAGAAAATTAATTGAAAATCGATACAGTTGTTTGTTCAAAAAGTAATATTTGCATTTGATAGGTATTCTGTTTTTAGAGATTTGTATTGTTATTTCAATTAACAAGAAATCTTTAATAAAGTTATTATTCCTTTAATTGAAAAGGTTAAGATGCATCGTGTAATGTACAGACCATTTATGGGACTACATTTCCGCCATATATAAGATCTTAAAAATTTTCTTGACGTTAAAATAAAAAAATTTTTTGGATAAAAATAAAAATTTTTTATATCACTGCTGTCAATAACATGTGCGCAGAATAAACAAATGTTTGTGGGGTCAGGTAATTACGTAAATTCATGAATTTTTTTTTTTTTTCCTTAATTGGATTAATTTCTGTTAAAAAATTCCTTATAATAATTTAAGTAATGTATAAGATATATCTATCAATTAATCTTTATATTTTATTTATTTCATTTCTTTTATACTTTTTCAATCAATCAATCAATAAATTTATTTGTGATATGGGACCTTTGCAATAGAAAGGGGGAAAACTGCTGGAAATAATGAATTTTACTTTTTATGCAAAATATGATTTTTAGGTCAAAATATGTTCAGATTTAGCATTAACCATTTTTTATTTTTTCCAGCCGTTTCCCCCTTTTCTATTGCAAGGGTCCCATATAACGATAGTGACTTTATAATCCCGTTTTTTTTTATTTTGGTGTATTTTATTTAAAATTACCTAAATATCGCTTTATCTGAAAATTAGAGCAAAGATAACTATGAGACGAGATCTATAAGCAACTTTCTACTAAATTTTTTTTGAAAATTTGGAATATTTCACTATGATTATATTTATGCCATTATAATTTTTAAATTTTAAGCTTTGTGTTTATTTATTTTCTTTTTAACTATAAGAATAGCTTTTCACGAAAATAATATATACAGTCTGACCTCGATATATTGATGTTGTTATCATTTTATTATGCATCGAAATTCGATAAATTTATTTTCCTACCTTATATGAACACATACAAATTATTATATCAAATATCTAACATCTTTGTTATCGCATTTTTAATTGTATTAATCAATTTTTATTTACCAATCGAAATCCGATTTCTGAGAAGATTTACACTGAGTCAAATTTCCAATTGAATAACTGTTGTAGTGTAGTCTAAATTTATATTAATAATTGTAAATTTTTTATTTACCATTCAATTAAAGACAATCTAATCCATAAAAAGCAATTTTTCAATGGCTTTTTCAAAGTCTTTCCAAATTAATTATTTAAAAGTCTGATCAACAACACACAACACATTGCTTTGGCAATATAAAAGAAGCAAATATCCTCCTTCAGCAAAAGTCAATATAAACAATTTTAATAATTTTGCAGAATCGTCAACCAATATTAACAATTTTTAATTCACGTGTGAAGATTTCCTGTATTACATACGACGTGTCGATTACATTTTATGTAAAATGATTAACTATTTTGAAAATATTGTTGACGAAGTGAAGATAAATTTCTTCAAAAATGTTGAAAATCCTATTAATTTGGCATTATCAAGTCGATCATGGGCTCGCATTGCCGAAGATCCGTATGCTAAGACGTAATGGTTAATCCTACATTATGGAAAAGCTCATGCAATGTTCCACGCCGTTAGATTAGGACCCTCTTTTATCGATGTAGCCGTTTGCCAAGATTTGTTTGCAAGAAAAGTTATAATATCAAGATACTTCATCCAAAGGTTACTCATGCATTTTGGAAGGTACGACCAAAAATTAATCGAATTGAAAATCGAACATAACGTCGGGCAATTGGACGCCGACAGAATTTCGTTCGTTTCAAAAAACAATCAAATCTCCCTGGGCAAGTAATCTGCCTATATCCGTATTTACCTATTTGTTAGAAATTGGCTTTAAACAATTAGCAAAGGAAATGCCTTTAAAAGGCAATGATATGGAATTGTTTCACTTCCTTTCCGCAGGACCTCACGTAATAAATTATGCCCCTGGAATGTTAAGAAAGAATTTAAAAAATATCGAAGAATTAATTTTAGTTCATATGTTTATTCCATTTCCGCCTAGACCAAAATTACAATTAGACTTAAACAGCGATCCTCACATCCATCAACCACCCATCCCAGAAGAATACCCCCCAAAAGATGGTTTTGAAAACAATAGACAACTTAATGTAATAGCGAGAGCAATCCTTATTCACCCTGATCTAGTCAATTTGTGGAAAGAAATTGGATATAGTGATATATGCAATGATGTCAATGATTTGGTTATGCAAGGGGCGCTACTCATTCTCTTCCCACCAACTCCTGCCTCAGATTGGAATTGTCCAACCGTTTCAATAGTAATTGCACGCTTAAAAGAATTAATCAAATTGGGCTTTCAATTGAAATATATTGTTATTGTCGACGCACTTCATATGTTCGAGCACCGTTTGGACGAAATCGGAGATATTCTTTGGGATGCATTCCGTACGATCCTTTCGAG